TGGTACACTGGAAAATCCATCCAGTATATCAGGGAGAAGAACAGAGTTTAAACTGGATGAAAAAGCAGGAGAGGCACGTGTCCTGCTTCATCTGAGCAAAAGAACAAAATGAACATGAACAACATCCGGAAGAGCCTACTGTGGGACTTGGTCCTTGAGCAGGAGAGCCAGCTGCCATACTTGAGTCATGATGAGCACATTATAGATGAGATTTCTAAAGCTCAGAGGATATTCTTTGGCTATCTTCTCCTCGGGCTGCTTTATCTCTTTTATTTCTTTCCCTGAGTGTTTCCATCTGCCATTATCTGAAGGAACTGAAATAATACAGATAAACTTGAGGAAGCTCATCTTTTCAGGCATGGAGTTGCCAGCACTGTGTCCATGCTGATAGTTAGTCTGGATGGGAGGAACAGTCAGCCGTTGCTTTTAGCTTATGTTAAGCGTTGTATTTAATCTCTTTGTGTCTCCAGTTTCCCTGATGATGAATACTAAATAACTTGCTAATATAATAGAAGTTAATAAATAAAAGTTGGCTTATTTGGAGTCTTGATATAAATCGTTATTTTTATTACTTTCTATTTTTCCTTGAAGATATAAGCTGGATGTGCTGATTTGTCATTATCAAAATTGAATAAGCAGTATCTATAAAGCGAGTCCTGTATTTCATTTTAAGTCTGTTTTTTGACGTATTTATGCCGCTGTTCTGTTAAGGAGACATGCAGTTTGCATGGAGAAAACTTTTTAATACTTCAGACGAGATGAGATAGTCTGTTAGAAGATGACTTTTTCTTTTGGTGCTTTTCAGGCTTCCATGTCATTCTGTCAGTCAGGCTAGTGTGACTGTGCAGCTGCATGGTAAACTGCATCAGGAAGGTAGGCTAGACTAAAAATAATGCAGGGAAGAAAACTAAACACAAACAAACAAAACCACCAACAACAACAAAAAAAAAAAAAACAGAGAAAAAAGTTATCTTTAGCTCGGAACAGTTCCTGAGGAGGGGGTTCTTATTAAGGCTGAAAGAAATGCTTAGGAAATTATGACCATGGCTGGAAAATGTATATGGGCGTTCTGTCTGGAAACCACTTTGCTCAGTCTGAGAGGGCACCAAGTCCAGACTAAACAGGTTAAAGACAATTGCTTCTGGATAATTGGATTATGTGATAAAATAAGCCACTTGTGGAGCAGAAATGGGTCTTACGAGGGAGAGAGGTGACAGGCCGTTATGGAACAGAAGGAGAAGAATCATCAGTTTGTGTGGAATTAGGACAAGCTGTAGCTGCAGTTGTGGCTGTAGTTAGTGTGGTCCAAAAGCTGATATTCCTATCAATGTTCTTTAAGTATGTATTCAAGACCTTACTAAGACTGCTTGTGTAGCATGTATTCCCTGCATTTGTTACAATTATGCCGCTTTGACATTACAAACCTCTTCGGTCAGTGGGAAAAATTATTGGAACCAAATTCATATATATTGAAATTTTATCAGGCCTCCCTACTGGTTTGAAATTTAGAATTTCAGTCAGAAGCGGGGTTTTTTAATAAAACATTGGATTTTGTTAATTAACAAAAATCAGTCTGATGAGCTGAGTCATGTTAAGAAGCACCCTCCTCCATACTGTTAATTTTTGTGAAAGAGACTAATTCTTCTTGGTTGTTGCAAACATCTATTCCAAATTCATTGTCTACATTTCCTTTGTAGTGAAAGGAAGGGGAGAGAGAGAGGTGAAGACCTTCAGGCTGCATTTCCATCCCAAGCTGGTTTAGAATGAGGTAAATTGCTTTCTGAAGATGCTAGTGTCTCTTGGTTTGTCAGGGGGAGCGTAGGTCTGAGTATGCACTAAGTTTTTTCTTTTCAGGCAGCTAAAGTTGTGGGAGGTGAATCCCACAGAGCATTTCATTTGTTAAGAGCATTGTGCAGGCTGTAATAAACATATGGTTTATATTTCTTGTACAACTCTTACTTATATTTTAGCATAGCTGTTATAATCAGGTAGCCTTGTTGGCTGTATAAACACCGGTTCTTGAACCCTGTTAAGCTCTTGGCTCCTGTGCATACCACACACATATGAATTCAATAAGCTAACTGTGCTGTTTGTAAAACAAGTATTTACTTTCTTCTATTTCCATGTGAAACTGCTCAGATTAATTAGACTTCACCTTGTTTGTGCGTGAGGAGGCAGAAATAGAGCCCATTTTATCACTCTTTCTTTCAGTCAAATCATATAAATCTTTTTTGGAGTTTCTTTCTCTGGTAGCTTCTGTGAGAGTCCTCTTCTTGTCTGCCAAAGTCTCACTGTGCTGGGATTATGCTAAGTAATATAACATTACAAGCTTGAAGAGTACGACAGATTTGTATAATAGCTTTGGAATATTTTTGCTGTTATTTTCCATCCTCTTTCTTATGTGTTCAAACAAGGTGTTTGCTGTTTTCATCACTGATACCCAGTGAGCACATGTTTTCATTGAACTTTCCATACTGATGCACAGGTCTGGCTTTTGTTTTGCTTTTCCTGAGCTGATAGCAGTTCACTCTAACCCTAGCAGTGAGTTGTTCAAATTAATCCCTTTTGTGTGCATTGCTTTGCATTTTTCAACATCTAATTTTATCTATTCCTGATGTTGAATCACTAGTAGCTCCCACACATAGAGCAGTAGATACTAAGGAGATATTAAAATATGGATCGAAGAATGACAAAAACTGCTAGAGGATTGCCAGTTTAAGAGAAATAGCTGAAGTCATGTGTCTTGTGATGTAAAGTATGTTTTCTCTGTTGGAGGAAACTTAGCACAGTTCTGATCTTTCAGATTTATCTTAACATGCACATGGTAAGACTACATTCCTTCTGCCTTTTGACAGCTTCACCCTGGTCTCTTCAGACCTTCTGCTGTCCTAAGCTACCAAGGATAAGCAAACTTTTGGATTTAACCCAAAACATCAATTGTCTTAAACCCTGTTCTGCCCTCTGCGCTGTTTTTTTCAGGTATCTTCAAACCAATTGAGGGTGCTTGGCTGCACAACATGTTCTGCTGAGATTTAGTGATTCTTGGGTGCTAAGCATGTTGGGCCTCATTGCTGAGAGCGCAGATTAGAGTAGCTTTATTAGCAAACAGTATGGTTCAGGTTAACAGGGGGCTGAGCAATTTTACAGAACAATGTATATATGTTTACAGTGAAATTCACCTATTATAACACAAATACTCGCATGAAAATCCAAATATGATCTCAAGATGAAACATCGATGTTTTGTTTATAGCATCTTTCACCATCCGTATCTGCCTTCAGTTCTGATATTTTATTCCTGCAGGACGACACAGACGTTATTTTTCCCACATCCCATATGTCTAAATCATGTATAAAGATATTTAGCTCAAATACCATGCGTGCGAAACATTCCACACTGTGGGTATGAGGTGATGTTTGGTGTGTCTTTAACATGCTGTGGTGTTCAATTACAATACAGCAAATTTATTTTTATGCAGCCTTCTTCGTAGAAAGTATGGAAAATTGCTTTGCAGTGAGTCATCTGTCAGCTAAAGAACTAAAAGTCTTGTAGTGATATTTAAAGAGAGAAAGTGGCTCAGAGCTGACAGAGTTCAAGACAGAAAAAGAAACAGAAATGAAAGAGAGGGCCTCCAACCATGAAGAAAATAGAGGCAAAGACTGGTAGGGGGAGGAGTGATGAGAAAGCCAAACAAGCTGAGAATGTCAGAGGCAGTTCAGGAGACTGTGCAGATCATTTGGAAACAAGCATTTGGCTTCAGGTGTCTCCTGCATTACACCAGCATTAGCCAGGCAAAGATTCTTTGACCCTAAGGAAATGGCGTAAAACCAGAGAAATAAGAGCACTGGGCTCAGTACACTGCAAGGAATTTAGAAATGTGCAGCAAGAGGTTGAGGTAAGGATAAATGGCTTAACTTTCTAGAGCAAGACAGTAGAACAACACTGGCATTCTGCAGTCCATGATGTTTAAACATATGAGGATTTCGTTAAACCGTGAAAGAGGGAATTTCAGTTAATTAGACAGGAATTATTATAGGCATGAATATGGACTTCAGCAGCAGTGCAGTCAAAGGGAAGATGGATTCCGGCAGTCTTCCTTTAGTCCTTCCTTCCTGTAAGAGGGCTTACACTCAGAAGTGAGCGTGTGGGAGAGGCAGTCAGTTCAGGGTCAGAGAAGACTTTAAAACTCTGGCTTTGCGTACAGGGATAAGATCTGAGTAAAGATGCATGAAAGCTGTCTTGGAGAGCAAGAGGGACTTCTTTCCCTTGACATTTGAGCCCTTTGAAGAATTAGCTAGTAATGAATTTATACTGTAGCAAGGGAATGACAGAACCAAGACAGGCTGTTAAAGAGATCAGAGATTACTCGCCAAGGTCACTGATGCCTTGCACGCTTTCCCTATAAAGTTGATGTCCAAAGCTGAGCTAGCAGTAAGATATCCCAAAGGAGGAGGATATTTAAGGAGGAGAAAGTAGAAGAATCAGAAACAGATGCCTGGTATTTTTAAGGCACAGTATTATCGTGGAGGGATATCGCCAATACAAGCACGAATGTCTTTTACTGTGAATTGCATGCATTCTTCTTGCATTCTTGGTCAAGTCTACAAACTGGGAGTTCTTGTAGGGGTCTTGGGAGAGCTCTCTCAGCCTGTGTCCCCTGCCTATACTGGGTTTTGCCCTGACGATTCTTTTGACCTCACTCTCTGTATAGAACCATATTATCTGCTTTAAGAAAGTAAATGTGTTGTAAAGTGTGTAGCACGGAGAGTACAGTCTTTACTGAAAGCAGAAAGGAAAAGAACTTGTCTTCTTACTCAATGCGTTCAGAAAAATTGGCTTTGACATTGTAGTACTGAAAGGCATTCTAAGCATAAAAGTACGATTAGAGCCACTCAGACATCCCAGAATTTGAAGGGAGTAATATTTCATTGTCTGCATTTCCAAAATGCTTATTACAGATCTTCTTATTTACAACTATCATGTCTCTTTTGAATCTGCAGAGGAGGCATGTCAAGGACAAACCAAGAGAAAGCGCATTCGAAGGAAGAAACAAAAGAGCAGTTTGCAAAACTCTAATGATTTGCATGGAGAGCAAACAGAATCTGGAATGCCAGAGACTCTTGTTCAAGATAATTTACAGCTGCAGCAGATAGACAGTCCCAAAATAAGCAAAAACAAAAAGAGGAAAATGAAAAAGAAGCGACAGAAAGAAAAAATGAGAGCAGCTGGCTTGGTAACAAAAACTACCGGTGTGGATTTTACATATCAGCCTGGCAAAAACAACAGAGAAGAAGCAGCAGGCTTAAAAGACATAGATGAAAAGGCAGATAGCATTCTGGACTTCCTGCAGGCAACACAACAAATTTATTTTGCTGACAGTATGTACCACTCTTTCTCCTTTCTTTTCGTATTACCATGTAGGAGAAAATAGATCTGCACTTATTATTGCTGTAGAACGGGTCAAATCTACTAGAGAAGTGTCTCTTTTGAACTCAGTAAGACATGCAAGTACTTAGGATTTTCTGGTGCGTACATGAATATGGAAGAATCCATATCAATATAAAAACCTGTGCTCCAAATCTCTGCTTCTCTGTCTTTGAAAATATACATAATATTCCTTGCTCTTTTTTAAAACATTGCAATGCACTTGGGGTAAATGTAGTGGTTAAAATGGAGCAAGTTCTTCTTTCCTCTGCAAGCAAACATCCAGAAGGATTACTTGCTTTCAGAGAGCTTCAAATGAGGGCAATAATTGCTATCCTAAACTACTTTGGTGCTTACTGTCTCTGAACCAACCTATTTTTCAGGAGGTTCACCTTCCCAGGAGGAGATTTATTTGTAGTATATAAGGAAATCTAGACAGACAGCATCCAAGAGGAAAGGGGAAGATACTGTTGGCACTGGGAAATTGTATTGGCATAAAGCACTTGTGAACAAGATGAATGTGAACTGATGCTCCGTGCATATTCCATAGCACTTTAAAAAGGATTGCATGGATGTTATCCCTAATGGCCTATTGAATGTTCATCCGGCCACTAAAATCAGAGAAATTCCTACTGTATGTTTCTTCCTTTGCCTTCCTGAAAAGCTGCTTGTATGGTGCTTATGTCATAAATGCCTTTCAGAGATAATGAAGTTTTAGAGGTAAGTACTATAGTATTTATTTGTATATGCACCAGATTATGTTGGTAGCATCTACAGTTAAATATGTTTTCTTAAGGGCAAGCTGTTGTGTTCTGTAGTTGCTCAGCTGAGAACATAGGTTTAAAATGATAACTGTCTTGTAAAACTGGAAAAAAGCAGTGAAAAATTTTTCAAAGTGTATGGCCTTGACTGTCTATGGGGCTGAATGAAGAATATTAAACAGCTTACCTGCCTGTATGAGTCCATCTTAAGTCAGAACTGTCAGCTCCTAGTCCCATAAAATTTATCTTTATATTACAGAATTAGTTTTAAAACCCTGCTAAGATGACATCAGGGATTTTCTGTTATTTTTTTTCCTCAAGATTTATGCATAGAATCTTCTTTGCTTACTTTGTTAAAATTTTTCTGCTGTGTCAGGTCTTCATACTAAGGCTGGCATTGGAAATCCATCCTACTTTCTGACTGATGTATCTCCATCACCAAAAATAAGAATTTTACTACTTCAATGTATGGCTCAGTAAATGTAAGCAAAACTAGATGCATTTGCTGTAGTGGAACTCCAGAATAACAGAGCAAGGTTGCAAACTCAGTTAACAGTTCTGCTGTTAATACACAACCCAAAACAGAAGCCTGGTCAATTGTCCACCGCTGTGTTGCATGTAGAATTTTAAGAAAAAGCATTGAGCTTCCATCTTTCCTGGAAGTCAAGTTCTGTTTTAGCAGTGGTTGACAGACCGGCTGGCCCTGCTGTCAAACCTACAGATCGGAGGTTTGAGCCAGTAAGGACCTTGGAATCCACAGAGAGAAATTCTCAGGTAAAAGACAGTTCATCTGTGGATAAGATGTCCAATCCATAAATCAGAGTGTGACTAACTTTCTTGTTAGGCAAATCCTAGTTTATATATAGATCTAACGTTATGCTGTTCACCTTTTCTAGTTGAGTGACTTTAATACTTCTAAATTTTTTTAGATAAAATTGGAAGCCATTGCTTTTAACAGCGTTTTCGAGTGGTCACATTGGATTATACTTGTTCTTATGTCCAAAAGCTGAATCGGGAAAATTCTGTTCTTCTCAGTTGGCTTGCTGGCAAAAAACAGAACTAAAGGGAGTCTGGTTAAAGGGACAGACTATACATTGTTTCTAGAATGGAAGAATGAATTTATGCTTTAGTACTGTAGAAACAATGTATGTGCTTCTCTGCTGTCTTGCATGCTATAGTATCTGCTTTTTCAATAAAAAGTACAATAACAAGATAATTAGATGACTCCAGAAGTGCTTTGCAGTAGTTCCACAGAGTTGTTAGCTGTCTCCACGTGTGTTTGCATTTTTATAGTACATAGTGTATAGAGAGCAAAAACATAGTGCTTTGGCCTCAGTAGTTTTTCATCACATCTTCCTGTGATAATCTTTAAAATTTAGGTTCCTCTTACATTCCTGTCACTGTGAATCCTATTGTTCTTTTTGCTTTTTGAATTTGATACTTTCCCCTCTTAGGATTATTTTAATATGTAACGAAAAATGGGAGGAGCAAGCTGCTTTTTAGTACCTGGTACTTGGTTGTAAGTTGAACTAAAAAGGAAGATTCTGTCTTTGAAAAGAAAGTATAGTTAGGAAAATTCTCTGTGCTTACTGAGTATTTTTAATGTGGTTTTCCAATTGTTTTTCCAGATAAATCAAAAGGCACGGATTCTGCTGTAAATTCAGCAACTGCCCAAGAGCTTTTAAAAAATCTTGAGTCTCGCACCATCTCTTCCTCAGATGTGACTCTTCTGCATCAGCTGAAATCCCTTGTATTGCTACAGGATATTGAGAGATTGAAGGATGCTTTGAAACGATTTCAAGAACAATCCATGATGCCTTCTGGTAGGTACTATTCACTCATGTTCATTCACTGGTGTTCTTTTTTGTGTGGATTAAAATTCAGATTTGTCACAGGTTTTCTTATTAGGAAGCCATAAGTAATTATATAGTGGTAAATATATGCTTATGCAAGGTTTGAAAGCATAATTCCCACCAAAAATACAGTGATTTTCCCTGTTTCTTGTTTGGTTACGATTAGTACAGAAATTTTTCATACTTTGCGGTAGCTATAAAGTAAAAGATTATTCAGATTTTTAAAACATTATTTTTAAAACCTTAACTGTTTTAAGATTTAATCATGTTTAAAGCATATTTTTAATACATTATCTTTGTGGACTTTTTAAACCACAGGAATTAACTTGTTTATCTTGGAGATTTCACTCATCCAGTTAAGGATTAATTTTACATGCATAAGAATCAATAAAGCCCATTATTTCATTTCTTCTTGGTCACCTGCATGGCTTCTTTAAATAGATTTTGCATGCTAGAGTTGGATTTACAGCTTTGTCTTTGTTTAGGTGTAAACATCTGGTTTAAGTTTTTGAAAAATACTGCTGCTTGTAACGTCACTCTTCATAATGAATTATAATGTCATTCATAAAAAGAATTCTGTTACTAAATCTTTTCATCTCTGAGGCACAAGTCTGATTTCGTTCATGCTCCTTTTGTTCTCTGTTATAACCCCTATAATTTTAGTAGAATTTCTTCTTAGACAGATAATAGTTCCTCAAGTGCATGTGGGATCACCATGTCGTCCGTAGAAGGTATAATAATTCATTTTCCAAGTAGTCTTCATTTAAGCAGTCATTGTTAATTGTCATTAGTACATTTGTTGCAGCATCAGCCAAATCTACGAGATGTGCTGAATTATCTTGCCTCTGAAAGAAGTTAGTCAGAGGTGAGAGCACTTGCTGTGGCACGAGAGAATCTCAACCATTTTAGATTGTGCTCTAAGTCATTTGAAGAGTAATGACTGAGCTGGTAGTAGTGTGGTAACAGACTAAATAAGATCATAGCCATCAGAGGCTTAGCAGTAACATTCGAAGAAGAGGCTACTGTGACATCATTAAATAATTTGCAGTTTGATAGTGGCTAAAGATCCCAGTAAAGAGTGGAGCCTGGTGCATGCTGTGCATTGTGAAAACACAGGAAAGAGAGAATTCCTGCCCGTAGAGTTCAAAGCCAATACATTTGGAAAAGCAGAGACTTACAGAAGTATATATTTATTCCTTAGCATGTACATATGGAGTATGACAGCCCTTAAGGTTCTGATAGATCTGAAGTATCCACATATACGTGGAACAAGATCCTTCTATGCATTCAATAATTAATTTCAAGCCTAGATTCTATGATCTTAATTATAATCAGATAGTCTTACTGGATGTAATACACATTTGCAAACTTGCAGGAATAGTGGTAACGGTATTGGCCCTTTATTAAATGACCTAATTCATCTTCTGTTGATTAAATCAAAATGGAACTGTCGAAGCAACCATATTCGGGATGTTCCTTAAAGGCCTTATCCAAATTCTACTCAGTTCAGTAGGAATTCTGTTGGATTTTACAGCCTGGAGGCAAGCTTCTCTGTTTACTTTCATAT